CTTTCACGTTATGGTATTACAACTGTGAAATTACAAACAAAAAATACACATTCTGAGACATGAATTGTGAATTTTATTAACATTAATTCGTCCTCCTACCATTTTCACCTTAAAATTATGAGGAGGCTGTGCCTCCGCGCTGGTATTCCTCTGGACCCCGAAACTCATGCCAACAATCCACCAGTGTATGATGGCGATCCGAATGCCTGCCAAGCCTTTCTCTCCCAGTGTTCGCTGGTGTTTTCACTGCAGCCTCGACGTTATGCCACAGAGGAGGCTAAGGTTGCATTCGTCCTCACTCTCCTCTCGAGTCGCGCCCGCGAATGGGGAATTGCCGTATGGAGATCACGGGCTCCCTGCTGTGCTACTTTTGCGGATTTTCGCCAGGAGATGGCGAAGCTGTTTGACCGGTCAGCCCAGGGAGATGAGGAGGCGGCTCAGCTGTCTCGGTTGTCTCAGAGGAGATGCTCAGTCACCAACTGTGCCAAACAGTTTCAGACTCTAGCGGCGGCTTGCGGCTGGAATGAGGGTGCGCTATGCGCGCAATTTCTTGAGGGACTGGACGATGTCATCGCTGACAAATTAGCGACTGTGGATCTTCCTCGAGAGCTGGACAATTTGATCAATCTCGCGCTCCTTGTGGAGGGCCGTCTCAACCTCCGCCGGCAACGCCGTCAATCCACTACTCCGTGGCGCCACCTGGAGTCTGCGTCATCCGATGCGGCGAGTCCACAGTCAGCTGATGTTGAGCCCATGCAACTGGGTCATCTCCGGCTTACGCCGCAGCAGAAACAGGAGCGTTTAGCTCAAGGATTGTGCCTGTACTGCAGCAAGGCTGGTCACTTTGTCCTTCAGTGCCTGTAAAAGTCAAGGCCCACCAGTGAAGTGGAGAGTCCTGGTGGGCTCCTTTCCCTGTTCAAACTCTCCAGTAACGCACACTCAGCTGCCCTTTCGACTCTCCTTCCAGGGAGGTTCACTCACTGGCCACGCCCTTCTGGATTCGGGGGCTGAGGGGAATTTCCTGGATTCTGCCTCTGCTCACAAGTGGAACATTCCGAGCATTCCCCTGGTTAAGCCCATTACAGCGTGGTCATTAGCGGGCAATCCCCTCACCGCCATCACTCATGCCACCCCTTGTGTAAGCCTTTCCCTCTCTGGTAACCACTGTGAGCAGATCGAACTGTTAATTATTGACTCCCCTAAGGCCCCGTTAATTTTAGGACATCCTTGGTTGCTGAAACACAACCCACATATTGATTGGGTCAATAATACTATTTTAGCCTGGAGTCAGCCTTGTCATGTGTCATGTTTAAGTGCTGCTTTTCCTGCTGTCTCTGTGTCTTGTGTTTCGCAGGTGGATCCCGCTGACTTGACCGGCATCCCGGCGGAGTACTGCGATCTTCGTGCGGTTTTCAGTAAGTCCCGGGCCACCTCTCTACCTCCGCATCATCCCTACGACTGTGCCATAGTCCTTCTCCTGGCCAGTTCTCCGCCTAAGGGTCGTTTATATTCCCTTTCCGGTCCTGAAAGAGAGGCCATGGACGGGTATATATGTGAGTCACTACAGGCTGGGCTCATTCGCCATTCCTCCTGTCCCACTGGGGTGGGGTTTTTCTTCGTTCAGAAGAAAGACGGCTTCATACACCCTTGTATTGATTACAGAGGTTTGAATGACATTACAGTAAAGAACAGGTACCCCCTACCTCTAATGTCTTCTGTTTTTGAATTGTTGCAGGGAGCTCGGGTCTTCACCAAATTAGACCTCCGCAACGCCTACCATCTGGTGCGCATTCGGGAGGGGGATGAGTGGAAGACGGCATTCAACACACCCTCGGGACACTACGAGTATCTGGTTCTTCCGTTTGGTCTGACCAATGCTCCGGCCGTTTTCCAGGGTCTCGTCAATA